TCTTATCCACTCATCTGATGATGGACATTTGGGCTGGTTCCAACTCTTGGCTACTGTAAATAGTGCAATAAACATGGGAGTACAGGTGTCCCTTTGACATGATGATTTCCATTCCTCTGGGCATATTCCCAGCAGTGGAATAGCTGGGTCATATGGTAGATCTACCTGTAATTGTTTGGGGAACTTCCATACCATTTTCAAGGACATCTTTTAGATGGAAATTTTAAGAAAACAATAATACAAACCAAAACAAAACCTAAAAAAGCTAGCTTGTTTAGCAATATCTTGCCATCAAAATGACATGCCATGAATATCAACAGCTTCATGATTACACCTCCACCTACAGCTGTTTATATAAAGATAGACTTCAACACAGGCCCAGTCTGCTGAACAACACTGGGCCTCCAGCCTATTACCTTTTTTCTTTTACAGGGATATAAAAATTAGTGTGGTGTAAGGACACTTGTTTTCTTTTACAGGGATAAAAGCTAGGATAGCTTCTGGCCAATCTTTTCCTTGGGTAAAGTAAAATCTAGCATTTTCTAAGCTTGCTTGCTATTGATTCCTGTAGTTTTTTTTTTTTTCCTTTTTGTCTTTTTTCATGACCGGCAATGGATCGCAACCCTCAGTGTCATGCCCGTACCGGACCGGGACCGGCAACGGGATCGCAACCCTCGGTGCTGCGCCCGCACCTCGCTCAGCCAGTGAGCGGGAACCGGTCTGTATGTGGGATCCGAACCCTCGGCGGGAGCGCGCTGCCACGCTCCCAAGCGGCGCACTGTAGCAGTGCGCCACCAGGCCAGCCCTGTTCCTGTAGTTTTTGATCTAAGAAGAGACCTAACAATTGTTGGTTCTATGTCTTACATATTACAGGTGAAGAAACAGAGGTTTTGCCTATTTTTCATTAGGCTGTTTGTCTCCCAACAAAGTAACAATCTAAATATCCCCAGGTTGCCTAGTTGTGGGCCAAGGAGTCAGGTAATGTATAATCAAAACCAGATCACAATGGCCTATCCATTTCATTGTCTTAGGACTCACACAGGCTCATGGCTTTAAGTGGACTGAAAAGGTGGTGAGAAGTGTAATATACCATCTTTAAAGATTTCCCACATAGAGGTAACATCAATGTCTTCACTTTTAAAATAGTAATTTGAAAACACCCAGACCAAAGTATGTACCTTGAGATCCTTTTCCCCCATGGTTGGCTGTGGTGCAACCATGTACATGTTCTAACAAGCGGACTGCGAGAACTTGGAAGCCATGCATTACCAATAGCTCAGTCTAGCAGGAGCTGTAGAGAACAGCGCAAATAGGCGTGCTCATTGGCTGGCACATCTGGAATAAGCACTTTGCAATGCCGGAAACCTAAGCGCCCTTTTGTTTGGAGGAGGAAGTAGAGGGAGCTCAGTTGGCTCTAACAGCCGTTCTTGCATTCACGGCAGCAATCCCAGGGCCAGGAAGGAGCTGGAGTGGGTCTTCCCTGACCTTCTGCCTCAGGTTTGAGAAGCCTATTTGCTGGAACTGGAAAGTCTTCACCTACGTGGCCCTTCCATCTCACTTTGAGGAACCAGACAGCCCAGTTAGCCCAGTTCACTCTCCACTAATGATCACGACACCCCCCCCTGGAAGGGAGCCCCCCTCTCTCCCGCCCCCACCTTCCCACATGACGTTGTCACACAGCCCAGGATAAGGAAGCACCCTCTACACGCAGCTCCCGTGTTTTGTGATCCGTATGCTGTGAGTACAGGCTTACATAAAATCTGATAATAAACATTCAACCACACTCTGCTCTGGAGGCGGGGCCCAGTCACTTGGTCCACCAATAGCACAGGGGTTGCTGGCTCTGCCCAGCTGCTGGGGCTTCCAGCAGGAAAGCAGCTTCTGAGATTTCTCTCAAAGACAACACAGAAGGTTGCTTCCTAAAGTATTGATAATGGGGAGGGGAGGAGGCATCTATTTAGTAGATCCTGAGCTGTGAGGGGTTTGGACAGGGAGTTGAAGGCAAAGTCATCCTTTTTCCACAGTAAACACAGGTCAGGCGGTGTAAGGAAGGGTACTCTGTCTCAGGGCAGAGCCTCACAGCCCTAGCAGCCCAGGCTGCTGTTGGCTGGCATTTTCCTTTTGGATCCTGTGATGGAGCCTCAGGCAGGATGTGGCTGACTGCTCTTCCAGATGGGGAGTCAGAGGCATCATGGAGGGGGGGGAAAGGAAGAGGGAAAGAAGGCTGTGACAGCCACAGTGGCTGCGTGGCCTTCAGGCATGCCGCGTGGCAGGTTCCTGAGACCAGCGCTTTCCTTCCTCTTGCTTCTGATGTTGCATATTTAGAAGTCAGGAACATTCCCCGGGTGGGGCTATGGACTCTGCAGCCCACAGGGGAACAGCAGAGAGAACAGGACACCAGTTTCCAGTTCATTTATAGCACTTCCTTGACGTAGAGGAAAGGGAAGGAAAGGATTTTGACTAACACCCTGAGCTAAAAATGTGGGAAAAAAGGATTATAAAGGTTAGGATATTTCTTTCTGTCCTTGTTTTTCACATGAGCAGCCACTGAGAACACAACTGTCTGTCAGTCTCCTTTGTGACTGGGGACAGGAGTGATATAGATCAATGCGCCTCACAGATAATCCCCAAAGCTCATTCTTATCCATGAGCTTCAAACTCTTCCCTCCATAAATCTACCTCAGTTCATGCTGAGGAGAAAAATGAGCTGACGGGAGCATGGATGACGTTGCAGGCCAGACTTGTCTCCTACTGGAGGCGGGAGGCACAGCGAGGAGACCAGAGGTTCAGAGGGACACAGGAAATACCAGAATGGAGTGAGGCACGTTGCTGCAAAGGCTCACCGGTGAGCTGGTGGCTTCTTCAGACATGGGGGCGGGGACGACTCCAAAAATGGCAGAGCTGGACAGGATGACCCAATCCAGTCAGGTTCCTTTACGGAAGGGGAAACTGAGGCTCTGAGAGGTTATGGCCATTGGCCAGCTAGCAGCAAAGCCAGGCCTAGCCCTGTCCCTCCTCACTTCCAGTCCGCAGCCCTCTGCACCATACCCCAGTTTCCAGCTCATTGGGACACGCTGCTCACCCTCAGTGGACATCTCCCCAGGCTCTACAATGCACCAGGAACTGTGATGAGGCTCCCAGAGTCATCCGCTGCACATAAGTGTCACTGTTCCCATTTTGTGGATGAGGACACTGAGGCTCAGAGAGGCTTCACAGGTTAGTAAGTGGCACTTTCTCTTGGTTCCCCTAAAAACACGTCCTAGGTAACACAGCAAGTTAGGTCAAGAGTTAGAATTCAAACTTAGGTCTTAAGACTCTGAATCCATTGCTATTTCTACTACCTCATTAAGTCATGTAGCTTTTTTCAGTACATCCATTAAATTGCTTTTTATGGTGGATTATATTCATTTTTATTACTTCATGATATTTTGGAAATGAGTAAAATATGTGCACATTTTTTACCAAGAACATTCTATCTTTTCAGTCTCAGTCTGTTCTCCCACTCAGACTTAATCATTTCCCTCAATTAGGTCCCCAAAAGGATGAGCACTAATTTGAGAGGTTTCAAATCTGAAGTCAGGCATGTTCTCATCTCTGCTGCCGTTAGGGCTGAATGTTAGGGCTGAATGGGACCCTAGACAGAGTCTGGTTTAATTTCTTCTCTTTGCAGATAAGTAAACGGGATCCTGAAAAACTGGCTTTTCTCAAGGTCATGCACCTGGCCAGTAGCAGAACTGGGACCTGAAGTGTACTTGAAGTGGCTCCACCGTCCCAGGTTAGCTCCATGTAGCTGTCATGACACCCATGGGATGTGCACAATTGGAACTGCTTCCCCGTGGGTCCCCTCACCTAGATGCAGGGTGCAGACCAGATTTCATTATGCTTTTGAAATAAGCCTCGTAGGGCTGAGAAGATTAAAGACATGGGGGACTATTCCCTTACGTTAAAATGAAACTTTCAAAAATGTACCAAGCTCTAGATGGCTACCTTGGATAGGCTTGAGAAATGCCTCCCAGGGCCTCTCTTCTTTTAGATGCTGCTGAGACCTGTAGAGAACATTAATATGGAAGACACTGGAGCAATCTAACCTCCATCCTCTCCTTCCTCCAAATCATCCCAATCCTAGGTCAATCACAGGTACTGCTGAAGATTAAGAGACGGCACTCAGGTTCAGAGAAGGGAGGTTTTGGATTTATTTGGATAAGCTGGGGAATATCCTCCTTTTGTGGAAAAATTCCAAATAACTGCTCCAAATGTAATCTTTTCTATTAATGAAAGAAGTAGGGAACTTTAGTACTTTCAGGAGTTAAAGGTTCACATAAACATTCCCAATCAGGGCCATTTTATATCATGCTGATATAAACTCATCTTGGAACATGACTACACTCTATCAACACTCTACACAAGGTCTTTGCAATATGTGACTGGAATATAAGGCAGCTGAAAAATGCCCCAGTCACATCCAAAAGGACTTACACAGGGAGATCTGGTCTGCACCCACTGTGGCTAGAATCCCACTCAACAGCAGGCAGGCTAACAAGTCCATCGCTGATGGCAGGGCACGGCTGCTCAGAGGCAGAGACTTAGGTGGTACAGAGGTAAAGCTGAGAGGCAGGACTGGAGTAAGACATGAGTCCATCTCCCCCACCTCTGGCCACCACCTCTGGTCAGGCGGAGCCTAATTGGGCTTAGAGGAGGAAGGGTGCCTTCATGTTCTTCCAGGTGAACGTGGAGGAAAGGTTCCCATTTACCAGCTAGAAGCAGTGCAGGTGACAGTATTGGTGAGTGAGAAATGGGGAACAATATCACTGGGGGTTCACGTTCCCAGTGAAACTTGCTGGCTTCCCCTCTGACTATGCCCAAGGCAGATGGAATGGGAGGCCTGGTTTTAGGGGCTGTTGATAGCCCAGAGCCCAAATCAAATGTGAGTCACATGGTCACCAGGAAGCATCCAGCACTCTTAAGAGAACATTTTCTAAACAACATTCAAGTACCTGGACGAGAACACCAACGAATCCATAATCATTTATTGTAAATAACTCATAGCTTACACATTATTAATGGCAAAATAACACTGTTAAACACCTACTGGATGAAGAACTTCATTATGACAACTTCCAATTGTTGTCATTTCTTTTTGTAAAATTTAAATTTTAAATTTTAAATCCTACATCTTTCGTGAAAAATATCTATCTTCAAAGTACCCCAATACCAACACTATAAGAACTTTCTTTTGGTCTAACATCTAACACAAAGGGCATGCTGTCCCATTAATTGAACATGCTCTTTACAAGCAACTTAACACACAAAAATTTTTTAAATTCAGAAGCTACATAATCATCACTTTATATTTTGCTGCAGAATCAATGAAGGCCGCATGCAGGTGAAACATTAGCAGACATGGAGTTCTAGAAAAATGTCGGTTATTAAGATCTGATGGCCTGGTGTGGAAAATTAATATGCTTATTTAGGAGGAGTAGCTAAAGTACATGCATCAGTGGCTGGGACCAATTACAATATAAATTAGGTATCTAAACATTTAAATGAGAGCTTAATTTGAGCTTAATTTGGTGTCTGGCATGTCTGAGTTATACCACCTTTAAAATAACAATAGCGAAGAGAGCAAAATCAAACATCTAAAGAGGCACTGATTTATGGAGTGGGCTGGGTGTATGGCTGGGGAAACTAAACTAGCTGGGCATTGAACAAAGCTCTCTTGAAGCAAAGACAGTGGAGCATTAACAAGCTGTAAATAGGACAAAAAAATACAAGAGCCATTTTCTATATTCTCATTTTTTTAAGTTTTCAATTCTCTTACTTAAACAAACAAAAAACCCCACACACAATGATTACAAAACAGAAACATTCTTTAGTTATGACATTGACCCCTTTTTTGTCTTCTAACCTGCCTCTCTGCTCCTTCAGATAGTGTGTTTAAAAGCAATACTAGGTTGGTTAATTGGTAGAAAATAAAACAAATGGTCTCCTGAATCACCCTGAAAGAATATTAAATTCCTTCACCCCATCAGGGATAACATCATGTACAAGCACATGACAATGTAGATTTGACATATTGTAGGTTCAGCAATTAAATCACACATCCACACTCTAATGGTAAATCACAGTAATATTGGCTTAAAAATTTTTTTCATTGATAGTTACATTTCGACACTATTATGAGACAAACAAAAATTCCCAAACCACATAGATTCCTCCCAACCTTCTACCCCTTCCCATGATCTAAAGAACAGGAGAACTATAGTAACAAAAGCCATGAACTCAGGTGTCAAGGGCGGATGCGCTGGTTGGCTGCTCCAGGTTCAGGAGCTGCCGTCTCCAGTCTTGGCTTTCCGGGCCTCGATCATTGGCTTGGTTGCCCGTTTGCGATCAGTGGCCAGCCCCAGCCAGCACATGAGGTCAATGAACCAGGTGGTTGGGTTGAAATTTAAGCCAAATTCACTTGCAGAGTAGTCAAAGGGAAAGGTGTGATGGTAATTGTGGAAGCCTTCACCTGGAAGACAAAGTGGGCAATGAAGTAACTCAATCACCACCTCTGCACAGATGTTTTTTAATCACCCAATTTTTGAGGGTCTACCATGTGCAAGACATTGTGTCAGGCTCTGTGAGGAGCAAAAGACCCAGTTCCTGACCTCAGGAAGCATTTACTTAGTTGGCCAAACAAACTAAATACGAACAGAAAAAATAACAGTAAAGTTATCAGCATAATTTCACAAGATTATTTTTCCTGTGTGAGTTGTAGACATGATACCATGACATCAGAGCTGTAATTCTGAAGCTAAATGCTAAATGGCTGATAACAGATTATCATTTTAATGTATGTTCATAAAAAGAAAATAGTCTCTGTGGGCTGGAGTGATTAAAAGAAGACTCCTTAGGATCCCTGGGGTTTTATTAAATGAATGACTAACGAAGTCATCTAGAAACATTGCTGAGTGACAGAGACTGTTTCTACTTTGCAGCAGGAACTTCACTCCTGGGTTTGATCTCTGCGCTCAAGGCTCAGCTTGTCAAGAAGCCTGAGTTGTTTCTATGAAGGTGCAGCTAATCTTTATTGATCACTTACTGTGTGCCAGGCACAGTGCTAAGTTCTTTAACAGGTTTTAACTCCTATAATCCTCACACCTCTGAGGTAGCTGCTATGATTTTCCCCATTTTAAGTTGAGGACATAAATGCACAGAGGGAAAAGTAATTTGCCTGAGACCACGTGGCTAGCAATGAAGCAACATCACAGAAGGCTGATTTCACGCTTAGCACTGCTACAAACACTATGAACTAACTCATCTAATCCTCCCATGGCCCTAGGAGGAGGTAAGTGCTTCTATTACCTCCATTTTACAGATAAAGACATGAAATGCAGAGGAGCAGATAACTTGCCCAGAAAGCAGAGGAACCAGGACTCAACCAAATTCACTGGTCTCTAAAGGCCTCACTCTTGACCATTTTGTGGCTGCATGAGATGCCAAGTTTGGTTTCCTCCCATCCCTCTGCTTGAAGGCCTTTTTTTCCTAGGGTCTGCCAAATGATTAGACAGCTGAGGCTTGACTGATGAGGGCAATTTGAGAGAAAAGTCAACTTCTGCTTCTCCTTTAGGAAAATTTCTATAGTAAAAACACTAATTATTGATCACCCACAGTGTGCCATGGGCTGTACCAAGCAGCTTACATATTCCTATAAAGTAGGCATTGCTATTCCCATTTCACAGATGAGAAAACTGTAAATGAGAGAGATCATTTGACTTGTCCAAGAGCTGGGACTCTAAGACCAAAGCTCAAGTTCACTCTATTGCCTCTCTTTGCAGATTCCACAAAACCACTGAGCTGAGAAAAATCCAGGCCGCCATTCTCCCCATTGGCCCTTGACACCCCTACTTACCAATGGCGCCCAGAGTGACAAGTGGGTTCTGCCGGGGGCTGATGTGCTTGTCGTAGGGACGGTTTCCATACATGTGGGCGGCGCTGTTGACCAGCCAGGTGATGTTGAGTGAGATGGTGTAGCGGAGGATGGAGGCCAGGAAGTAAGAATTCCACACACTCTCTCCCCAGACATACCAGGGCACCAGCGTGGGGACCACAAAGCACATGAGCACCACAGAGACCTTGTAGTACCTACAAGCAGGATATCATGTCATCATTATGCACCTATTGATGACGTGGGAACATGCTGAGCAGGTTACAGGAAAAATCAGAAAAATGCCCAAGGAGGGGACTGTGCCTGTCATCTCCTTCAACTTGTTCTGTATAAAGGAGAACCCTGCTGTGTGTCACTCTGTGAGGGGGTCACAAACCCCTGTACTTACAAGGGCTAGGCAAGTGTCACAAATTTGAGAACTAGGACACACAGAATGCTCCAGGAAGTGGTAGTACACTATTTCAATTTAAGATAATCAACACTGTGCTGGCCAAACCCATGCATATTAGAGCTACATTTCTCCTACAAGCCACCAATTTGAGACAGCTCCTAGAAAAAAAATTTTTTTTAAAATTTTTTTGGAGGGGGGTGCTGGCCGGTACGGGGATCTGAACCCTTCACCTTGGTGTTATCAACACTATGCTCTAACCAACTGAGTTAACAAGCCAGCCCCAAGAACACCTAGGGACTTTTTTTTTTTTTTGTCAGCTGGCCAATATGAGAATCTGAATGCATGACCTTGGTGTTATAAGGCTGCGCTCTAACCAGCTGAGCTAACCAGCCAGCCTGGGATTTCTTTCATTAATCAACCTGATATTCAGGTTTTCTTGAATAATTTCAAGAAATATTCAGTATTTCTTGAGTAATTTTAGGTTCACGACTCTGTACCAACTCAGCTCAGTAAACAGGTAGATGAACCCCACCAAAAAAACGTTCTCTTCATCAGAGATTATATTCCAAGACAGCATAAAAAATAAGTGTAGAAACAGGCATGGCCACATAAGAAGTAATCATAAAAACCAAACCACTGATAGTTTGATTTCTGGACCTTTGTATCCAGCAAGCGTTTACTGAGCACCTACTATGTGCCAGGCCCTGAGTATTACTGATACAAGAGCTGAGTGCTGGTGGTACAAATTAGACGTAGTCCCTGCCCCAGGCTTCAGCCAAGTGGAACCACTGTTTACCACCCTCCTGCCAAGCAGGGCTGCTTCAGTGCAGGGACAGAGGAGGGCTGTGATCGAAAGTGTGCATAGCTATTTCCTCCCAGCCTCCCACTGGCTAACCACACTTCTGGAAGGCCTCCATGAAGATGCATATGTATCACCTGGGAGGTGGCAGTGTGTGAGGGCATGCAATCTGGTAGGGGCAGGACTTTGACTGGAGTCCAGATCTGATTATGGACATCGAACATACCTCTTTTTATTCTTTCATTCTTCTCCTGTGCACAGTTAGATGGTCCCCCCAAAAGCAGGGCACAAGGCAAGGGCTTGTGTGGGGGTAGTTTGCTTTGGGAAGTGAGCTCAATTAACAGAGATTGGGGCAAATGGGAAGAGTGAAACAAGGGGGAAAGCCAAGCCCGTGTGCATTATTGGGCCGGCCAGGGCTGTGGGCAACTGAACTTAGATCTCAATGGGACAGAATATACCTCAGAACTATCGTCTCAGGGAATGAAAGAATATTTTTCCATTAGCTCCAATGGCCCCTTGGTCAAGGGATGCCGCATGGGATACTGGCTGCCTCACACTTCCAGATTTGCCTGGCTCAGGACAGCTGAGTGGGTTCCACAGGCATCTCAGGTGGAGGCGGCAAAGCAGCCCAGGGCAGGAAGTAAGAAATACACTGTACTGCCGAGCCAGGTGCTGGTGGGTTACATGCTGCAGTGACGGCCAGAGTGAAGAGCTGGGCTGGGAATAAGAGCCAGGAGAAGTACCCCACACAGGTAGTAATTACAACACCTCACAGGGCTGTCGTGAGGACCAAATACTAATAGCTGATGCATGCTACGTGCTGACTATATGCCAGGACTGTTCTGAGACCTTTACATTTGCTTCTAACAAAAACTCCCTGAGGAAGGGACCATTATCACCCCCATTGTACAGATGGGGGAATTGAGTAACCCAAAGTCCCAGGACAAATAAGGGTAGGATCAAAATTCAGGGCCGGCCCGGTGGCGCACTGGATAGTGCGCCGCTTGGGAAGCGCATCGGCGCTCCCGTCCGAGGGTTCGGATCCCACATACGGACCGGCTCCCGCTCACTGGCTGAGCGAGGCGCGGGAGCAACACCGAGGCTTGTGATCCCGTTGCCGGTCCCCGGTCCGGTACGGGGGCAACACTGAGGGTTGCGATCCGTTGCCGGACACGGAAAAAAGACAAAAAGACAAAAAAAAAAAAAAAAAAAAAATTCAGACCCAGGCAGAATCACTTGAGTGACCATCATGCTCGCAAATCATCATGCCTTGCAAATGAAATCGTGTATGTAAGTGTGCTTTATAGATTGCTGGCTGTACCTAAGTGTTAGTTCCCATAATGATAGTTATTTTTATTGGGCAACATATTAAGCCATCAGCACCTATTTTCCAGTCACTGGGATACAGGATGGCTGCATTTTAGTGGAAAGGGGGTGCCTAGGAGGTCAGATGAGTGGGCTGTAGTTGGAGGCAAAGACAACAGACAAAAGGGCCTCATGGTCTTGGAGTGGGCTCCCTGGAGTCCCATGCAGAAGGCTTTTAGAGAGTGTTCTCAAGACATACCTATAAGGAAGGGAAGAAGGCAGCATTGGGCGGAGGGAGAAGCTCACCCACAATGAGTTTCAGCAGATCCCAGGGGGTTCTCTGGGCTGGAAGACCTTAAGAGTTGTTCCAAATTGAAAGGTATCACTGCATTGTCCAGCATTGGCCTCAAGGGGCCCCTGGATGGGTGAACCCTTGGGTGAGGCAGGTCCCTGTAGGCGAGGACAATTCCCAGAAAAGATGCGGGGGGGCGGGGGGCAAGAGCAGCAGCTGGAGAGAGCCCTTGGGTGGAGCTCACAGGCCCTGCACTGGCCAAGGGCCCTGGGGTCTGGGGGAGTGTGTGAAGAGGCAGAGGCTCTGACGAGAAAGTGGAAGAGGTGGCCAGAGCCAGGGGCCACTACTGCCACCTCTTGTCTGCACCTCTGAGGAGGAAGGAAAGCAACTGGACATTGCCAACAGGGGGCACTTGGCAACTCAGGTGGCTACTTCCCCTCCTCCACTCTCTGGGTTACAACCCAGGCCTTTCAAAGGAGCTTCTCCTAGTCCTGTTCTGAGCCATGGTCTTGACCCCTCAGTTTGCTCCTGAAAAGAAAAGGAAGAAAGAAGACATATGTCGAGGGTTTGCTCTGTGCTGGGCACTGGGCACATATCTCCCTTAATCCTTGCAGCAGACTCAGTAGATGTGCCCAAGCAATGAAGGCGCCGAGGCTTAGAGAGGGGCTGTGGCTTCCCCAGGCAGAGGCCGAGGCCCTGCAGAGGCTCCCTGCTCTGCCTGACCCTGTGCAATCGACTTTCTCTGGTTTCACTCAGGCCCTGTCTGCCTCCTCCCTCTGAACTGTTTAAGGAGCCACCTGCCTGCCTCCCAAGAGCGCCGAGAAAAAGCACTGGGGCTTCACCAACTAACACAACCTCTATCCAGTCAGATTTCCTCTTCCTCAAAGAAGACGCTCTCTAAAAAAAGTCACTGTCCTCATTCCGACACAGCCACGGCAGATCTAATTATAGGGTTGTTCTCCGTTCTTCCTGGTAATTGGATAGGATTCCTCTTTGTGTTTGCAGTAGAATGAATGGAAGAGGAGGGAAATTTTAGGGGGCACAGTGAGTCTGGGTGGGATTTTTAGTGAGATGGGTCCTGATGCTGAAAACTATCTGAAAACTCTCCCTGACCATTTCAAAGACTCTGCAAATCCTTCCTGCATATCCCAGGGACTGCTCCTTCCTCCCACGCACCATTAGCCTCGAACATCTGGTCTCCATTTAATTACAGTCACTGGCCGTGGTGCCTCAGAACAAGCGCTGAGATGGCCGCCCCACTTCCTTGTCTAATAACACTCAAATGTGACACTCTTGCCAAGGGTCCGTGGAGCACTCCATGCAGCCCTCCAGCACCCAATCCTTCCACATTGAAAAGATTTCCTTTCTTCAGCTGTCGGTAAGGAGGAGGGCTGGAGAGGGGTGGTTGACAGTTGCCCTGTCTTCACTAAATGGGTTTTTTAATGCTGTAAAGCATCACAGAACATTTAACCACTCAACTTAGCCACTTCCTAGCTGTGTGACCTTGAGTGCATTATTTAATTGCACTGAGCCTCAGGTTTCTCTTCTGTAAAATGCTGTACTAACAAATTTATTGACTGACTACTATGTGCCAGGTTCTGTCCTAGCACTGAGGAAAGTGAACAAAATATAAAAATCCCTGCCCTTGTGGAGCAAGGGTATTCTGGTAGAGATCTATATGTCTGGTGTATTCTAGTAGCAAAGTCAGCAAATGAACAATATAAATAAAATATAGAGCGTATTAGTGGTAAATACTGAGAAAAAAATAAAGCAGAGAAGGAGAATATGGTATATTAAGGGCAGGTACTGAAATTTAAAAATAGGGCATCTAGGGAAGGCCTCACTGACACTATGGTTTTTGAGTAAAGACTTGAAGGAAGTGAGAAGCTGGCCTGTGGCCAAATGGGGCCAAGGAAACCACAAGTACAAAAGCCCTGAGAACATTCAGGGAAGAGCAGAGTGTGGGGGCTGGAGCAGATGAACAAGAAGCAGAGCTGTAGGAGATAAGGTGGGAATAAGGAGCCAGGTCTAGAGGGTCTCAGGCTGCTGCAATGATCCAGGTAAGAGAAGATGGTGGCCTGAACCAGGATGGGAGTCGGGGATGGTGAGAAATGGGCACATTCTGCCTATACTTCAAAAGTAGAGTGACAGGACTTATTAGACTCCATGCTGGAGATGCCATCAGCTGATAAGGAGAAGAATGGAGAAGGAGCATATGAAGAGCTCAGTCTCAGGCTCGGTAAGAGGGAGATGCCCCATCCACTCAAGCAGGGGTGTGGGTATACAGGTCTGGAGTTCGGAGGTGCTCTGGGGAGAGGCGGGGATGGGAATAGAAATTTGGAACACATCAGCCTACTAATGCATGTTGCTCACATACATTTTTGCGTTTGACTCCTTCAATAGTCCTGTT